AACCAAACATTAGATTGAAATTGGTTCATCAAAGCATTAGTAACTGTTATCTAGGCTTGATTATTATTATCAGACTTTTTTTCAGTGTATTTGAGAAATTCGATCTTTCCTTTTTTTTTTGTTGTGCTACATTAATTATCGATATCTTTTTCAGAGATAAATCTATTAACGTCATTGTGTTTTGCAATTTTCAAATAAAAAGAAAATAAATAAATTCGCATGATTATTAAGATGCGCTATTGCGATGCATTTTTAAGCGCTTAATCGAGTGTTTATCTCGATTTGTTTCTCTCGGAAGGCGGGAATGGATTGGGGTTGTGTGTCAGGTCAGGTGTCTCACGTTCCGAGTTCTTCATCCCTCTCGCATAACGTTCCTCGATAGTTTTCGATTTTTAAAAGCGATAAGGCATTGTCGGATATGTCAGCTGAGATCTTCGAAACGTTTCTGGGATTGCGGTAAACATCGAAAGCTTTACAAAAATATCTCATCTTATTTTTATCTGTCGAGTCCCCCTTGTAGTTATATTATCCCCGTCGCTTTTCAAAATTCTCGAGCCACCCCCTCATCCTTTCTCGTCTTTCGAGTCTGGCGCTCCAATTCTTCCGACGATTTGTCGACGCGAATTTTCTCTTTTCTTTTCCTCCATTCGAGGGGAAATGAGAAGCGCGAATTCGCCTTCTCTATTTTTTCCGTCAGAACTTATCTCACTCTTAGTTCCTTTCTTAATACTACCCCGTTTTTTCTCTCACTGTAATAATAAAGTGATTAAAGCGACTTGTCATGTTCCCGTGCGTGCTACAAAAGAATAACGAAGAAAAGATTCAAATGTGCTCCGGGAAATCCTTCTCAGTTTCTTGTTATCTCCCTACTTCTCGCTCCTCTTCTTCGCCGACGTGACGATGTCGATTGAAGCCGCCGTTGTCGTTGATGGTAATATGATTAAGCGCAAACTTTTTGGCACATTTGCTGAAATCGCAGGCAATTGAACCCTCACGATACGATAGTTATTTAAATAGGTTTTTCCTTAATAATATTTCCTTAATAATAATATAAAAGAAAAGGATTATTATTTTCTAGTGTAATTAGAAAATCTTTGTTTTTTAAAAGAATTTTCAAGCAAGTAACTTCATTTGAATTTAACCTAATCTAGAGCTGACGGTGAATCTATTAAACCCATTCCATTATAAATCTGTTTGAAAAATATCAAACAATTTAATTTTCTTTAATCTAAATGTGCACTGAAAAAAATTTACCGAATCTTAATTCCAATTTCTTTGACTAGTGCTAAATAAACATTTACTTACAGTATTTAATAAATATTTACTTAGAAAAAAATAATAGTTAAACACATAAATTAACGATTCTTATATCAAATAAATATATAGTTTACATTTAGTAAATATTTACTTGAATTATTCAAACAAATATTTATTAAAATTTTGTTTTTTTTCAATATGTAGATTATTCTTTTTTAAATTACTTCTTTTTCAAATATACTTAGTATTCATTCTTTTTTATACAAGTTATATTATTTTGATTGAAATTAATTAGTGTCTTTTAATTAACATAAATTAAATAGATTTTACAATGCCAGTAACTGATTTATGTTACAAATTTTAACATCTGTCAAGGAAGGTTAAATTCATTTCAATTAAATTTATTATAAGGATTTCTTGAATATTAAAAGTTGAAACGATTAGTTTCTACACAAGTCTATCAAAGTGAAAATTCAAAAACGCCAAAATGTCAGTTGTTAAAGTTTGACGAGATAAAGATGAAACATCTTATGCATTTATAAACAATATATATTTACATATCATATCGTTGAGGGATTAATCACCTGAGACAATGTGGTTAAGTGTCTTTCTTCACTCGCTTGTGGCTCGATTTGGCATTCATACAATTGCACAATAGCTCGCACGCGTATATTTTACAGTTCCAACAGTTTTTTTTTCCTTTTATTTTGTAATCGGCAAAATCGCGGACGATCGAGTCGTTTCTCCTCTCGGATGCGTGATTAGTGTATTAAAATACTCGCGGTATGTTTGTCATTACGCACTACTCAATTCCTGCTCTATTTATCGCTTACCTACATAAAGATAATACTTAATAATTTCTATATCTTCGGAATTTATTTAGCATGTTCGTGCGAGACGCATCTATTTATCGAAATCATGCATATACGCAAGAATGGAATGCGACTTATCGATTAGTGTCTTACTATAACTCGCAGAATGAATTTTCAGTAAATTTTCCTGACTCGAGGAAAAAGAAAGAACATATCATGATTTTTTTCTTTAGTTAGAAATGTATAAATAATTTGCGATGCTGCAAAAAAATTATCGTCAATCACTAATTTTTTTTACGGATACAATTAAATTTTTATAAGAAATTTATGAAAATATTAAGAAAATATAGCGAATATATAAAATAAAATGTGAATTCCAAGAAACTATTTGTTTTTATTAATAAGAGATTGGCTATCATTTCCATTGTTTAATACAGATTCCATTCTTGTTGGAGTAAAGTCATACATACTTGAATAGTGTAGCAACTGCTACAGTGCAGTGTTATATCATTTTCTAGTAGAACATCTTCCAATTGTTGGAGAAGAATATCTGTTTCTTACTCTGTTCTTCAAAATTCCAAATGGTTCAACGTTATTTAAATCAGGCGATTTTACTGGCTAGGAAATATATTAAAGTTTTGAACAGAAGTGGACAATCTTGGAAAACAGAGTGAAAATAGATTTTCTCTCCAACATCATTTATATAAGCAACTGAAAGTTGTTCTACCAAAAAAGTATTACAACATTCCATTGGTAACTATTTAAACATTGTGTAAAAAAACTCTATTCCAACAAAGATAGATCATATATTAATGCAAATATCGTGCCAATCTCTTATCAATAATAAAATAAATAGTGTATTTCCTTATAGATGTTCACATTATTTTATTTATCCTTTGAATATATATCTAATCACGCACAATGATTTGAATTAGAGAGAGAAAATAAAAAAGTTTATCTTGTTTGACATGGTCGCCTTTTTCCTCGAGTCAGAGATTTGTCGAAGATTCTTCTCGCACTGGAAAAAAAGGCTGGTTACATTAATTGGAATTCTGTAAAGTGAACAAATCAGAATTTTCTGATTGAATCCATTATAATTGTAGTTGAGATAACCAGAAATTTAATTGATACGATAAGAATCTTCTGGTTCGTTCATTTTCTTTCCGAAATTTTTCTCAGTGCAAGATCCCCGTTTGTGCAGGATCCTCCGCGATTTCCCGTCGCTCATACTCGATCAGGCCCTTACTATGCGTACGCACTCTAAGCTTATAGGTTCTCTTCGAAAATACCGCCCTTTTATTCTTTTTTTAAATATTTTCTTTTTTTTTTATCTTTAAATTATTTTCCCCTTTCGGCGAGACGCTTGACGCCTAATAGTTAGGTACGATTTGCAATTCCACTACGGTAGTTTTCATACAGTAGTTTTAATACTTATATGTACATGTATAAATATGTGTACCATAGTGTGTACGTGAGTAATATACTTCTTTAAGCCTCAACAACGATTTGCAACGTAACAAGTCGACGCCATCGGTCTCGATCTCGGTCAAGATCGTCGTTAATTCCGCCTCGATGACGATCATCGACGCACTTCGGCCATACTCGACAGTCAAAAAAATATTATCATTAATCTCACCTCGGGTCACGATATATATGTCGCGCGCACGAGGAGTTTCAAAAATTACATCTTTTTCTATTTGATATTTTGAATATTAAGTATTGATCCACTTTTACCTTTATTTGATATTTTAAATATTGATTCACTTTTGTTTAGATTCTAACTTAATTTTTTCATCACAGACATTATAGGATGAACGAAAGAAATATTAATAATTTATATTAGTAATTTCTAAATATTGATAAAAAAATCTATCATCTTTGGTAGATTAATCTGTCTGAAAAGAGATAACGGAATATTATTTTTTAGTTGATTTATCTTTTTTTTTTCTCATTGTGAAATTACATTTAGTTACGTTAAGATTAAATTGGAGTTGAGTATTTGTTTGCGAGTATATCGCGTACCCGAGGAGTTAAAATCTTCTAACACACAACTGACAACGCAATAAACGAACAACGCGTAATGTCGTCCTAGTGACGTCTGATCAACGTCTATTAACTACGTCAACGTTAATCTATACAGTATAACATTTAACAGACTATTAAGCGATATTAGGCGCGATTTCGAGGACCAGCCGAACGACACCTAATCACTCGAATTAACGAGAATCTTGATCAACAGGATTGTATTCGAGAAGTAGAAGGAAGTTATCTGGAATTATCTCAGTTACTCGTAATTGTCAGATACATATCTAGTAAAAATTCCCAAATTGAAGAAATACAACAAAAAGATTCATGTTAAGATAAAAAATTATTGAACTTTTATAATACGTTTTTTCAAAAAACAATCAATGAGTCGGAAACGAATTTAAAAATAGTTTTCTTAAATAAGATAAAATTTAACGTTGTTTTACAATATAATTTTTACATTTGCTTTAAATATAAACTTTGTATCCATTTAATCCACATTATTTGATCGAATTTAATTTCCCTTATATTTCTCCCCGTATTATTTTGTTTATCCATTAGTAAAAGTTGCACATTCGCAACTTTTTGAAACTCGCTCAGCTTCTCCCGATATAATGAGCTTTCGAGCTTACATCCTTCTACTTTTCGGATAGAAATCACCCGTAACTCTCATAATTAATCAACGGCGCGATTAATCCCGACTGATCGGGCGCGATTTCGCGCCGTCGTAACACGGATTTCGCGCGAATATAATATCTGTGTCGAAACGTGGGTGTAATGTTTGTGAATGTGTCTGTGAGGTAATCGTTCACGCAACTACACCGTGTGAGCATGTAGGTCCGCCCTTCTCTCGTTGCACTTTCTCGCGCATTCCGCCGAATTCGTCTCTCTCTTCTTCGATCTCTTATCAATTAAGTAAGCTTTATTATATACGAATTGCGTTAGTTAGTTTGGCACATTGCGCGATTCTTTCGTCCATTTTCCCTCAAATAGTCTCGAAGTAACCACCGACGCAACGATGTGATCATTGAAAAATAAAATATATATTCTTTTGCTTTTTTTCTCTGCGCTTTATCTTCACGGGATGATAGCTCTCGCGTTTCATCATCTCGAGCCGCGTCCAAGTGGTTAGATGGATCGATGATCGCGCAATTAATTGGTGAACAGTTCTGTGACTGGAGATTTGGGAAACGACGTTGCCAGAGACTGTCCGAATGTACTGTCCCGGTGCTCTCGAAGTATATCGGCTACTTGCTTCCTATCGAACTGCGTTTTGTTACAAGAGGTATGTACAGCGGTATGTATTTGTATATATACAGTAAAATGACTTTCTCGCGGCAGTCTCGTGCCGATTTGTGGATTTCGCGCGCTTGGAGAGGAAAGTTCGAGAGAACGGGTTGCGACTCCAGCTAGTTTAGCACGAGAGTCCAGGAACTTTCCAGGATCCTTTGTCCCATGGTACCTAACGCGGTTTTCGCGTTAGAGCGGCCTTCCGAAGGGCCCTCCTAATTCAGGATCTGGCAACGCCGACCCGGAATCTCTCCAGTGTCCTCGTTCTTCTTCTTTCGAAGTGTTGTCTTCGAGGTGTTGTTTTGTCAGCGGGGTGAAGTGAAGTTCCCACCACCAGGGCCAGGTTAATCATTTAGCAGCTGACCGACAGCTCGGCCGTCCGAATCGAGAAACTCGAAAGAGATCGTTAGTCCCTTCGAGAGGGCTGTCTTTCAAAATCGGATCTTTGGGAGATTTAATTGACGATCCGTCCGGTTAGTCTCGATTGGATTTAACGGCGGTGACGTTCAAGCTGAATCGCCGCCGGCCGAGCTTTGGTCAGGTTGGGCTATGGTGGTTCCGGCTCGGAGGTGGGAGATTCCTGCTACGCCTCCAGGAAAATGAGTGCCGTCGGCTTCGGTTCCAAGTTGCTCTTCTTCGCCTCCACCACCAGGAACTCGATCTCGTTTCGATCACGGCGCGCGAATGACTCCGCGATCAACCGCGCGACTTCTTGATGGTGAAGTCCTGCAAGTAAAAGTAGAATTAATTATTCAGAGAATTAAATTTAGCAGGTAATTAAATTTTGAACTTCTCGTTTCCTTACTTCAAAATGACATAACTCAAATAATTAAGTAATAAAATACGGAGCAACTATTTATGTGTTGTTTGAATCAGTGCATTGGTTGAGTGACTTATGTTACAGCAATGACGTATTTGGTTATTTTATATAATTAGACTGTTTTCTTCAACATTCAACCACGAATTTTTTTATGGCAACTGTATTATTTGGTTGATTTAGGTAGAATGTTCAGATGTAATATGGATAAATCGTTGTTACGCTTTGAATAATTATTCTAAATACAAATATAAATTTAATTGTATTGCTCTCACTGTTGGTTGGTTCAGAAAAATTACGTTGATATGATATAAAGACGTTGATATGATATAAATATTATTAGACTGGTTGCTAAAAAATTAATTTGAATTTAAAATTAATATTTTTTTATTTTTAATGCAATAATTATTTCATATAAGCAATAACATAAAATCTTTTTAAGAGATCATCACGATTGATGGAACTATAAATAGGTAATTTATACATGTAAATGATCCCTTAACCAGTTTTAAATTTTAATTATCATAATCAGATCACGCATAATTACATTGACGTAGTTGACACATCAAAGTAAAAACGTCACATGAACCATACATATACTTTTCAAAGATAATTAGAATGATGCTATATTGCTTACAACTAAATATTTATGGTATTGTGAATTATATCTTTTTTTCATGTAAAAAAGGAAAAACTGTTTTTTAACTTGAACTTATTGATTAAATATATTCTTCATATGATCAAATGTCATTTTTATCAATTTCATTTCATGATTTAAAAAAATCATTTGTTTTTATTTGCAACGATTATGATGTTTTTTTTAAATAATAACGTTTTTAGATATTTATAATTTTATAATTTTTGATGAAAATAAATTAGTTCATGATAGGGTAATATTTTCTTGACTCGTTCATGATAATAACTTAAAAATTACTTAAAAATTAAATTTTTTTAGTTATATTGTATTATTTTTGGAGTAATTTAGTTATATTATTTTCGAAGTAAGGAAACGATTATTATTATTCATTTAAATCAATTTTTTAAATTCTCTCGGCCATGTGAAATTTTATTTATCTTTCGTCAGCAATCTAGGTCATTGAGTTTCAATGCAGATTTTTATATTGTTTTAGACCATATAAAAATCTGAAATTCTTGCATATTTGTGGAAGCTTTAACAACGAGTTTTTACTATTACTATTATTTTTGCGCAGTTTTGTTAAAGTCCTTATAAAAATTTAATTAGATACACAAATTTATAAATAATTTTCGGACTATCAAAATAATTATATAGAACGCTCAAGTATTGATGACACTACTGCAAAAAATTTTAGCATTGTAGCAACCAATTTAAGCGTCCTATATAATTATTTTGATTGTCAAACAAAATTATTTTCAGATCTTTATCTAGCTAAATTTTTGGATAAATACCTCAGTAAAACTGTTTTTTCCGTGTAGAATTCGAATTTACTTATTTTTTATAGATTTATATAAATTTATCAGCATTCACAATCAAAATGCTTCAAAATGTCAAGTGCTTCAAAATCCAACTTGGCCAGTGGAGAGTTAAAGCGTTATTGTTATTGGATCGAATATATCATTATTGTTTAAATTGTTCCATTACAAAATTAAATTTGCTTAAGGTGAAATACCTTAGCACTATCAATCAAAAGAAAGTTGATCTTTTTTCTCTGAAATCGAAGCTCTGCGAATCTTTAAACCAATAACCATAATTTCAAATTACAATAATCAAATTACTATGATAAAATAAGTATATAAAATGTTTCGCATAGATCTATTACGTTTTGATCTTGCTGGCGTTACCTTCAACTTTTTGACCATCGACCTCGAGAATGAGCTGTCCGACTTCGAGGCCACCAGCTTCGTAAGCTGCTCCGTTGTCCTGCAACGAATTACCGTATGCGTTAGTCATATTTATAGCGTAATATTGTTTATGCCACCGTAAATGGCGTCGACGATAAATTCGCTCGCGACGCATATTAATCGCGCGTTTCACTCAAGTCAAGCTTCATTTAAGTTAAACGCTTGGCATCATAAGTAACATAAAACATATATTTTGTCATAATGTATTTCATTATTTAAGAAGCTTAAGAAAATGTTAATTAGCGTCATTAGCATACTCCATTTTTGTGCATAATTATTTATGTAGAGTAAGCTAGATAAAAGAAACAGATTTGCATATCTAATATCAAGAAAAAATATTCTTTTTAATTTTGAAGATCATGTCCGGATAATATTATTATATTACATTTCGAATTAATAAACGCTTGAAATGAATTAAGAAATAAGAACATATTCTTGTTTTTCAATTGCAAATCAATAATACGTGGAATATCTTATTATCAATCAAAAGAAGGTTTTTTTGTCTTAGAAACCTTAGTTTGAAACCTTTAGTCCTGAAATTTTTAAATGGGTAAATATAATTACAGTAATAGAATTCTTTACTGATCTTAATGAAGCATAGACAATTATGCCCTAAACATTATTAGCTTTATTACTCATTTGGCTCTAATTTTTTTCTTTCTAAAACTATTTTAATCTTTTCTCTAACAACTTTTCTTAGTCTCTTTCCTTTTAATGACTTTCCTTCTATCCAGCAATCTATAACTTTATCCTAAATCTCCGATATACCCTCTTTTATTCTTGTTTTAAATTAACGTTTTCTGATTTTGTTCTGGACTTCCCTTTAATCCAATTTTCTTATTCTACTTTTACTTTTAATTCAATATCCACAGCTTTGCTTCAATTTTCCCTTTGATCTAACATTTGCCAGCTTTGCCCTAATTTATCCTAACTTCTACGTCAGATAACCTGCCAGAGATAGCTTCAAAACTATCAACTAGCTCACACATAGAATCACTTTGTTTCACCTTACAACTTATGTTACGATTTATTGGTGGAACGAACATTACAAATTCCTATATTCCAAAAGTTCTCAAGATTTCTTTGCAAAACATCTATATTTCTATGTCTTTGATTATAACCGATTATATACATTTTTAAATAAGGGAAATTATTTATGTCCGATTTAAAGCGTGAATTAAAGTTAAGATGCAATTAAGGAAAAACACACACAAAAAAATATCATTTTATTCCCAAGAAAAATGATTACTCCATTTACTTTCTTTCTTTTAAGTAAGTACGGCTACCTTTGACAAGGAACATTTTCTTGATAATAATCTTAAAATTTACTTATTAATTTTAGAAAAATTCGTTAGTCTATACTTAAAACGAGAATTTATTTTCTCCTGAAGAATGTTATAAAATTAATCGAAAAAGTGACTTTATATCATATGCAAATTTAATCTGATAATCTTAATTGCAGTATTAAATTTACTAGGGAATTCAAGATTTTGAATAAATTGAATAGATGCTCGTGATAAGCTTATGATAGATTTGCGGATACATGAACTTTTTGAAATACTTGGAAATAATTATTATTCGCATATACATTACTTATTTTTCTATGTACACGACTATCGAACTCACATGTATATTGATGATCCGGGGCAGTGGGTGCTTGGTGTTAGCGCCGCCCTCGATGGCGATGCCTAGAATCGACTTGGTTTTTTTCACGGTGATCCGCAGATTGCCCTGATGATCGGGCACCACCAGGGCGCCATCCTCCTCCCGTCGCTCCGACATTTCGCTGCGGGTCAACCGCTGCACGCTGTGATGCCGCCGTGGCGGGCCTCCCGCGGTCCCACCAACGGCGGACCCGCTGCCGGAGCCACCTTCCTCCAGCAGTTGCGCTTCCTGCATATCGAAGCTCCGCGAGAGCTTGTGTGCGAGCTCCTGGAACGGGCACAACTTGCATTCGAACGGCGGTAATCGAACATCAGGTCTCTTCTCCGGCCATTTCGCCGGATACGCGTCAGCAATTACCAAAAGCCGTTTAATTGTGCTTTGACCACTTCGTGAATCTTTGAAACATAATATTGCATTATCATATTTTAAAGTAAAATTAATAAATGTATTAAGTAGATTTAAATTAATTATGTATTTGACTTAATTATGTATAAATTACGAAATTTTAAAGTTCTCTCAATTTTCTTTTTAAATTGCACATTAAAATAAAAATAAAATTACGATTTTCATAAGTTACAATAAACTCCTAAGTTTTGTCTGAGTAATGAAATTCTAAATTTTTTAAATTGTTTTAAATAATAATAATAATAATAATAACTACAACATTTGAGAATTGTGTTTATTATTATTTTTTATCGTTTTTGTAATGAAATTACAAATTAATTTTACTTACAGAAAAGGGCGCAATGAGATTTTTTCATGAATTTCGTGAATTAAACGTAGTTGCTGTCGCGTATCCAAAATATCATCTCAATGCACACACACACACGCACGACGACACAGCACATAAGAGCTAAAAAGGCTTATGCTAGCATATTCGCGTGCATCTTCACGCAGCTTCCGAGATACAAAGTATCGTAAGATATCTGTGCAAATAATTCGTAATAATTCACGAGCTCTCGTATTGTTAAAACACATCTCTCCGCAAGAGATATTCCGAGCATTAATTCCGAAGTAAAATGCAAAAGTACTGATCGGAAGCTGATAGAAAAAGGTGTTCGAAACGGTTGCATACACACCACCGTTCATAAGTTCGAGATTGCAATTTTATCTCATGGAAAAATAGATTTAAAAAATCTTTTAAAAATTATGAAAAAGTTACGCGAATCGAGAAAATTATAATAAAAACTTTTTCTCTTCTCTCTTTTTCCATAAACTCTTTAACTTTAAAGTTAGAAGAAATTTTGTAAAAATGAGAAAATCTATTTTAAAATATTTTTTCATTAACTTTTTCCTAATGATGTTTCATCAAGCACTTCAAAGTAAAACAAAAATATTAAAAAAAATATTAATCTTTGATGTAATTTAGGAACAAGATACAAACAAAGCTAAAAAAATAAACTTGCATATCTTCTCTTTGAAATGCATTTTTAAAAACTTTTCTACGGCTTTTTTTCATCAAGATACTCAACTTTCCATGAAATGCGAGAAAATTGCAAGCGTTTCTGAACTTCAGAACAATAAGGTATATAAATATGTATCTTTTTTTTGAAATGCATTTTATCTATCCTCTCGATGCTTTCTCATTTCACATGCTTTATCTATCGTGCTAAAAATGAAATGGGAATAATAGCAAAGAAATGGAAAGATATACTTTAATTAAGTATCTATATTTATAGTCATTTAACTCGGATGACAAACCTTTCGTAAAAAGGTGGTATTCTAATGCAGGGAGACATGTTAACAGTAATTAGGCAATTTATACTTGTCTCACCTTTATTTTATCATTTATAAATAATTTCATTCAAATAGATTTAATCATAGAAAAATAAAGAGGCATTTCGGTGAATGAAATAATAAAACTCTTCGGGTTTCCCGTTTTCCTTGCATTCGATACGGTTCTATTGTTTCCATTCCGCTTTTCCTTGCGTGCAACATTACGTCACCTGTGTGCATGTATGTGAATTATATGTGCTGAGAGACGCGAGCATATAATGTACACATACGTGAAAATACACCACTATATATGTTGATATGTATTAATATATATACGTATAGATCACAAGAATATATATCAAAAAATTGAGTCAACATGCTTGCTGATGGCAGGCTGATAGCAGTCGAGTGTTGGTGCTCGGAGAGAAGAGAGAGAGAGAGAGAGAGAGAAAGAGAAAGAAAGAGAAAAAGAGAGTGGTAATTGTAGTTGTGTGGTGGTGGCGGTGGTGTTGTTATCACAACTAATTGCCGCTATATTTGTGGCCGTCAGCGCCGGTTTCGCTTACGATCGGCTTACCGTTGTTCGAGTGCGCAACAAAAAACGATACATCAATTATAGAGATGGTTCCAATCGCGACACTATCGTCGTATAGCGAATGGCCAGCTAACAAATTGTGCAGTTTATTTGTACGACTAATTATGACAATTCTAATGCTGCTGCTAACAAAATAAGAGCAGTTATCGGGTCTTTTCTATCGATTTAAAAATGGTTCCGTTGAAAATAAGAGAGATCAAGCTGACTGGAGAAAAAAGTATGTATTAATAGAAAACACACACATATTGTCATCGAGATGTGAAGGATATAGAGCGTAAAATATGTAAAATAATCTGTACACTGAGAGAAAAGTGTTTCGTATTTATGACTATAATTGCATGGTAAAATAATTATGATTAGAGCTTCATTTTTATAATTATTACTTTATAATGTTAGTAATAATAATTATATTTATGGTTTTATATAAAAAAATATATATATTTGATACTGAAAATGATTATAAATGATATTTTTCGTGGTCAATTTTATTTTTTTATATTTATGTAAAAAATTGAATAATGATAATTATATTTATGTTGTAACTATAAGTATAATTATTATTACTAAATTTTATATATATGAATATAAAATAAAATATAATTGTTTTCGAACTATGTACATTTTTAGTATAAAACTGTAAATATTATTACATTTTAACATTTTATAGCAATAATAACTAGAAAAATAGAATTCTTAATCATTATTTTATCATGCAATTATGATCATAAATACCAAACACTTTTGTGCCTGTCAGTGTAGGTATTACTGGATTGATAGAAAAGTATTTACACCATGCTAGGTAATAGAAAAGACCCCAGTTTTTTTTTATCTATTCACGAGACTTGTTTGAACTAACACTTGACAATCATGCAGTTGAGAAGACAATGATCGAGATACTCGTTTCAAAAATTACTATGGAATAGACATAATCGTTATGAATTTTATTCGTATGAATTTTTCTAGTCTGTAATAAAATAAATTTTGAAATAACTTTTAGATGAGATTCTCAACAAATTACATGATAAGTACAATAGAGGATACACTATTCTTCTACCAAATTAAACTTGAATTAGCGCTATAGGAGATTCATATATTTATTGAACTGTAATTAATTAAATCAATTATGCTAAATTAAGCAGATTATACCATAATTTTATTGGGGATCAAAATTTAACTGGATTATGTACAAAATTGGATTGAAATATAGATTAATGCTAGCGACTATTCTAGCGAAAGTGATTAATTTTTAACATTTTTTATCGGTCGCTTAAATTGTCGAGTTCACGGCCGGAAGGCAAAAAGATCATGTTAATTAGATCAGCTTGTTTTCTCGAGTGAAACGTAAAGCGAGAATAGTGAAAGTGCGTCCATTCGATGGGCAGCGAGATACGCGGATACACGCACGTGCCCACGCATGTACGCATGTCGGTACAATAAGTTTTGCTCTTCCCACATGGCGTCTTGCTCGATTTTTCTGCCCGAAAGGAAGTTTCTCTTTCTGCTTAATCCACTCACGATTTTCGTGAGTGCTTTTACAGGAAAACTTACGTTCCAGATCAAAAGTTTGAAAATATTAAAAAAAAATCGATATTTTTTAATACTTACTCAACTATTCACATAATAACATATTTTTTAACAATAATTCTTTAGATCCAATAATTATTATTTGATCTGAATTACTAAAAAAACATATTATTATGGATATTTGAGTAAGTATTCCTGAAAATGTCAACTTTTAAAAAGTAATTCTAAACTTTTGACCTAGATTTCTTTGTTTTTCTTATTTTACGTTGTCATCCAAGTTGGCAAGTTGGCGTAAAAATAGATTAGTCTTGAATTAGACAAGGTTTCTCCGGTTTTATTTGGATAAAAACGATCACTTTCTCTCGCGCTTTGATAATATTCTTTCTTTTCTCGAATTTAATCAATTTCTTTCACGGATATATTATATAAAAACGTGTTTATTAACAAATCGACTGGAGATTTAATATAGTTCAATTATTTAAATAATTATAATAATTATACTGAAACCATATCTCGTGAGGCTTCTGTTTTGCTAAGTCAATTCTGGTTCTTATGTGAGTAAAGTGATGGTGCATGCCAAGACATCTATGTGAATATGTTCAGCGCATATACAACCCCGTGCCCGTAAATACGTATATATATAGAATGTCTCACCCAATCAAGTTTCAATTAGAGATTATCTCGGCGACGAAGTTAAAGACAACTCGTTCAGCGAAGATTTTGCAATGGGAGGAGAATTATTCCGCATCGCAGCTATTTCTCGCAGTCGTTTCGCAATTAACTATTATGTTTCGCAAAACTTTTATTAGAAGGAAGCAGAAGTTATATATAGACAGAGACGTAAATCTACTTTACAGAAGAAAAATATTCTATTATTTTTCAATTTCTTGAAGTACAAATTCGCGATAACACACCTTGTTTCACAATTTATTTCTTTTTTTAAACATTATTTATTTCTATCACCTCCGGTTTAATTTTCCATGAAATTCTCACAAGCTATCCTCGGATCCCATCAAGCCTGCGTTTTAAAATCCGACACGAGAAAGAAGATGAGACGCTCTGTGTATATACGTATAATTGTAAAATAGTGATCGTGCTAGAATGTAAGGACAAAAGTAGCATGTGCAAGACATCTAAGATAAAAAACACGTACAACACCTAACGCTATGTCGACTAAACTCGCTAGCTCTAGGAGCACAAGGATACTTGATCGTATGGTTGTGTGAGAGAGAGAGAGAGAGAGAGAAAGAGAGAGAAATCTAATTAGGAAGAGAACTCATGCCGAAGGGAGCAGACGTTTCCGGTGGCTCTCGAATCGCACCGTCGCGCAATTTCCGCCGCGTCGTTTACCTGTGCTTGTTTACCATTTTTACTGTGCTGTTTATCGCAAGTCATTGTCGTCGTTTTAACATGACAGTTATTTTTAAGAAAAGTTAAACAAATTATTACGGTAATTAAATAAACTATCCCGGTAATCTTCTGATAATCTTATCGCACGCACAATTGGAACGACTTATCAGTCAATTGTACTTTTCCCGTTAAATTCTTGATAATTTGTCACGATTTTTTTTTACGATGCCATTTTTTAGCGTAAACGTGACCTGGATATTTCAAGCGCAATCGACGTAACCGCGAATCTCGCCGGAAGTTTACGATGTCTCGTTGTTTCAGGATAATACAATTTTTATTAGGAAGCTTTATTACAACAGTGCAGTCCTCTTCCCTCAGTTATTTTCTCTTTCGCCTTGCCAATTATATTTTGCTATAACTCAGAATTTGATTCGAGTACGACTATTCGTGCGGAAAGAGAAACTTGTAACTTTGTTGGGAACTGATAATTTAACGTGAAGTAAATTTCGTTCCTTTTATAACGTAAATAACGTAACAATAAGTAACGGTAAAATTTCGAATTTATTATAATTTATGGATTATTAAAAATAAATGTATGAACTAAAGATAAATTTTTTGAAATATTAGAGAAAATTCTATGAATTATTGTAAAAATCAATTCATAAATTAAAAATGAATTTTTAGAAATATTAAAGAGAATTTATAAATTATTGAGTAGATATAAAAATATAGCATAAATTTGCATAAATTTGCAGAAAACAGATTGTCTTTTATTTAACAAAATGTGAGTATGTCTTTTGTTTTACAAAGAAGCAAATTATTCAGAAATAATTAACGATGGTAATTATCACTATCCGTTGTGATGTCACACGATGTTGAATGTATTTAGCAACTTAGATTATAAACTCGATTACGATTTCGCGTTGCATTGTAATTTTTTCGCAAAGATGTTATCGAGATTTCCGGCGAGATCCGAATGGATTTCTCTATGTTTTCTCGCTCCGACATGAAAATTGCTGCTCGTCGCTGATTACCTACTCCCTTTCGATGGAGGCATAATCGATTATCAAATTCACGTCCTAATTTTCAAGGGCGCCCATAAAAGACGGATTGTATAAACTATTTCTCAAAAATTCTTTTAAGCAAAAAAAAAAGGATTAAATATTAAAATATTGAGATTAACAATTAAAAAAAGCTGAACCCAGAAAGTGAAAGTGAAAGAAATCAGATTTAAGAATTGCAATATTAAAACGAAGAAAAAAAGGATCGAAACAAATAAAATCTTAATTTGGATTAAAAAGTGATGATAATTCTAAAAAAGATCCAAGAATCAAGCTAATAAATTCTTACTATATTTTAAGTATTGAATAAATAAAATTTGAAAAATTAAAGAAATTAAGCAATTGAACGATAACATTACATTATTGATAAAAATGAACAATTAATAATATTATATATTCTATTGTAATATATGATATTTATGTAAAATATATATTTATGAAATGTATAAACGAGTATCTGAAGTATCTTCTAAAAGTATCAAACTCAATTTTCGATAAAAACTTCTCAGATGTCCTTTCCGATCCATTTTACTCCCCTTTCACGGACGCCCTTGTCCTCTCACCCTTTCGCGAGTCAGTGCGAAGTGCCAAATGGCGACGGAGAGGAAAAGGAATCGAGAGGGATAAAATGAAGGAAGGAAAGGGAAAGTGAAGAGAAAAGGAGAGATAAAAAGAAACCGTGCGTATCAAGAGAAAGAGAGTAAGAAATTCTCGCTCGATGGGAAAACTTACGAGGGGCCTGGCGCCCCAGTACCAGGATTTGACACGTTGCGTTAGTCCACCAAGCAGGTGGGACCTCCAACCACCGAAACCTCCACCACCTCCTCCACTCTCCGAGCCCCTCTCCTCCCTGCTCTCGAGCTCGTCATCCTCCTCCAAATCGCGATTCCTGTCGCCGGCGCCCCGTCTCCCGTTACCGATCATCTCGGCGTCGCTACCCTCGCAACCCCCATCGCTCTCCTGCGTCGCGACGTCCGCGTATAACACAACCGGAAATGCCTCATGTTAGCGCCCGTTCCGCCCTTTATACTATTGGTTTACGCGGATATTGTGGACGGTGTGAATTCCAGTGATTGGTAATTGCGTCGAATTGCAGAGACAAGTGAATGTATAGGTCTGAGCACAAAAATTGTCGTAACACTTATTTAGACTTAAGTTGTAGACGTAAGTAATGCACAAGCTTTCACGTATGACGTACGACTTATTGCTGTGTCTCCAAGAGACGGCAATAAATCGTATGTCATATGCCAAAGCTTGTGCGTTACTTACGTCTACAACTTAAATCTCTAAATAAGTGTTATGACAATTCTTGTGCTCAGACCCTAAGGCCGATATTTCAGGTGTCATACAAGACTTTCCCAGCCTGTTGATTGGTTGCAGGACAGAGAGGTTTTTGGTTCCTCTCTGTCATGGCCAATCAAAACGTTTAAAAAGTTTGTCGGTATGGTACATGAAGTATTAGGCTGAGTGTGTGAGAAAGATGTATGGTTCAGGAGGTCAATCATGTAACTTTTTTTGGGGCTAAATGTGAAAAGTGAAAATTTTTTTGTATGTATGTATATATATAAATATATATATATATATGTGTGTGTATAATACATACATACATAAAGATACATTTTTACTTTTTACATTTCCGCTCTAAACAAAAAGTTACATGATGGATACCCAGAGATCGAATCAACCACAGAAGAAAACTATATATAAAAGACAAAAAGTCTTTGCAGTGAGAGAAAAGTGTTTGGTATTTGTGACTATAACTGTATAATAAAATAATTATGGCTAATAGTAATTAAGAACTCCTTTTAGAATTTCTGCTATAATGTTTGTAATAATAATTATGTTTATAGTATATTAAAAAAATATATACTTGATTGCGAAAATGAATATAAATTATAGTCATTTTTGTAATTAACTATATTTTATTTTCTTGTATATAGATTTATAATTATTATTACGAATTGTAAGTTCAATATATAAAAAAATTAAGACCTTTAATTAGCCAGGAAAATGACTATAATTTATAATTTCGTTTTTGTGTCGAAACTGTATTTTATTTTTTATATAGAATTATAAATATAATTATTATTACTAACATTACCGTAGTAATAATCATAAACTTAGAGCTAACCATCATTATTTTATCATGCAATTACAGTCACAAATATCGAACACTTTTCTCTCAGTGTGTCATTACCATCAGCATAATTTTCTTTATAGATTTCTAAGATAATTAATAGTTATTATCATTAATTACATTTAATAAAATTTTATTTTTTCATCTCTTTTTTTCATCTCTTTTTTTCGAATGACAGAATGATGTTAACAGATATAGAATGATGTTAACCGATATTCATAGTCGGATCTTATATTTAAGACTATCTTAATTACAGTCTTAAGATGTCATGAACCAATCAAAGAGAGCCGTATTAGCATCTTAAGACATTACTTAAGACGGTCTTAAAATAATAAGGGATGAATACCTAATACTGACGTCTAATAGAAACTTGACATCACTGCTATTTTTTGACGTTATTCTACTAATTGGTCTTTTTTTATTTGCTACACTGAGGGAAAAAGATAATTGCAATTATTATAATTTAATTATAATTTATAGTTATTTTCAAACTACAGGTATATATTTTTTGTGGAATTATAAATTGTAGTAGTACTATAAAAATGGAGTTTCTAGTTATAATTATAATATTTTACTATGCAATCACAAAAAAACACTTCTCTCAGTGCAGCACAATTTGAAAATTGCATTGGATCGAAACAGATTGTAAGGTCTGTTTCTCTTTTGCATCATCTGTAAGGTACTTTTGCAGTTCTTTAATGAGATTAATCGTATCGTATTCTCCTCGCCCTCTGAAATTACGAATAACGAACTCAATCAAACTTATCAAGGAAGTACAAAGGAATTATACACTTTTGCCTCGTATACGTAATTAGTCTTACTCGCTTTACCTTTAGTTGCGCTACCTGACTGTTGAGCTAATTTCCTGTCCAAAAACCAATCTCTAGTTTTCTCATCTCGCTTCTTTTATCTTCCTCGGGCAGCCACAGTAATTCTTCGCAAATGTTCAATTTCTCATAACAATTCCTCACGACATTCTTTGATGTCTCTATTACATTTGTGCATTTTATTCTTCTTATTTGTATGTCATATAAAATGATATTTGGAGCAATGCACTTTTTTAACGAAGTTTACTTTGTTGCGTTAACTCAAAATTCAAAAGTATTTCTGACGCATTTTTCTGTTTTAAATCTTTATAACTCGAGTCCTAATAAAAACTTGTAGATTGTAATTGTTGGATTGGAATGGAATGTTCAGAAAAAAAGATGTAAGAGTTGAAAGTGGAGTTAAAAAGAATGATTCTTGTCTTTATATATACTGATAAATATTCAGCTAATAAATGATTGTATCTCTTTTTTAAAAGACATAAATTGATATTATTATTTAAATAATTTATATATTTAGTAAATAGGAGTCATTTAGTCTGTTTACCTCTTTTAATTTTTTTATACATCTCATGATATTGTTAGATTTTTAGAAAAAGCAATTCTTCAAATATTAATTGCAATATAAAATTTTTTATTAAAATTCAAGGCATGGATTTTTTTAAAAAAGAAAAGCACAGAGTCTCTTGCGATTTATACCTGTTTCCACTTTCAACGTAAATTAACTTTAACTTTACAAACATTTTTAATAATAATTTTAATTCTTCGAACTAGAAAAGAATGAAGAGTAAGTTGAACCGAGGTTAAAGTTAATCTATATTGGTTGAAACGTTATATGAATTAAATAAACAAGTTTCTGACGTCCAATATACCAGTCTCTCTATACAATCGCGATCATGCGAGAAAAACGATACTTAGAAAGTGTGTATAGTAACCGGACGGTCTCTTTGTAAAGTGATCGTGGAACCTACATGATCGACATGCTCGCATTTATGATCGTTTTGTGCGGGGACGCGTAACGGCGCGCAGGTGGGCCTGATTGTTGCCGTCTTAACTGGAGCACGTCCCCCTAGCTACGAAGGATCGCATGAAACCAGTTATATAAATTGTTTAAGGATCGTTTCATTGTGTCTCAGATTGTAATTTTCTTCAAAAAACCACATCTCTCTGTAGCGAAGAGATTAACAGAGAAAAAGAAAGAAACCTTTTAAGATCTGCTCAATCGTATCTTGACAAAATTTTATTTGTTGCAGTTTAAAAATTTTGTATCGTACAAAAATTATTTTTTATAATATTAATAACTATTATTTTAATAATTATTTTAATAATTTTGACACTGAAGATGAGCTGATAAGAGTCGAAACGTTTGTATATATTTAGAATATTGGTCTTGTACAATTAAAATCTAGTTTAATTTATTATTGTTATTGCTACTCTTTGATTTTTAATAATTTTATTTTTTGCAACAATAAAATAATTAAATGGGGGCAATGAAAGCAATAAATACAGCTATTATAATTAGTGCGCTTTAATAATACTATATTATATATAGTATTATTATTACATTATAAATGGTACAAATTATTTGGGTTTGTCATACGTTTCGGTTTATCTCAAACTATCTTCTGTGATGTTCAGTATAAATTTTCTTTTGGTGAGTACAATACATTTAGGTACAAATAATGAATAAAAATTTCATAATATATAAGATATGAACTTTATTCTTTCTAAAAATAAAAATAAATATTAAACTGTTTTTCAGTTTTTCAACCAAGTGATCATTGCATCCATAGATCACACGAGCAACCAACTTTCAACAATTCAAAACTAAAATATGACATAATATTTTAAATTTAATAAAAGAATTATATATTAGGTGTTGGAATTAATTCGTAGCGTTTTACAAGTGATGGGAAGTACTTTCATTAATGTATTTTTTAATGCTCATGTGAAATAAATAACATTCTTTCATTAAAAACGCTACGAATTAATTCCAACACCTAATATTGAAATTATACGCATATAAATTTTATATTATTCGATGGAAGTTAAGTGTAATAATTATTTCATTATTTGAATTTCGAGAGTTCTACAATCTAATGTTTTAATGTTTTAATTTTTGTATTGTATAAATAATATAAATATTCTCTTTCTCTCACAAGCAAAAAAATCCTATTAATCTTTTTACACACAAAAAACATATTAAAAAAGAAACAAAAATATCAGATATTTGATCAGTAAAAAATTAATATAATAATAAAATTAAGAGAGAAAAAGATATGGATAAAAAATTATAAAAACAATTTACTAATAGAGATAAGTCTATTAATAACTGCTTCTTGATTTCATGTCAGATTAATCATTTTTATTTTAGCTAAAAGCGGTAAAATATAAAATAAACGTAACGTGCAAAAATAATTTAGTATTTTGAGAGTTAATACTTCAATTGCCAACTTCAGTCGTTCTAAATTCAAATCACGTATTTTCGTGGTCACCCAGTAACCTTAGTCGGCAGCAGGAAATAATAATCATTGTAGATTATTAATGGGACCTCCATATATATATATCGTCGCCGGCGCGTCGCACCGTACCGGAGAAAGTTTTGAGACGACGTTCCGTTATGTACGCGGAACGAAGATCACGTAGAACAAACGCGGAGTCTCGGGTGGGCCTCAAACCGGAGCCCCAAGGAGGTAGACCGGTGTTTTACGATTTTGCGATGTAGGTCAATTGTCGTGGCGTTCAATGATTCCGCGGTGTCGATCGGAGTCGATCAGAAGTTTCGTTCTTGGAAAAGTCGGGAGTTGGCTGAACAACCGGTCGTTCCTGTTCTTTTCGTCCAGGAATTGATGGAACACGATATTCCTTTGTTAATCGTAACATTTATCGGACAAGCACGACACGATTGTTACAAAAAGCTTGTCGCCGCGTCTTAATTTACTAACAGTAATTAATAAAAAATATGTATTATAAAATGTTAATTAGATTGCATAAGGTAA